CACTTTTGGTTAGCCTCACCAAATTCAACACAATTGTGAATATTTTTAAGAAGGTCTGAATTTTGTGCAAGCATTGATAGTCTTCTAGGACAATCCTATTGCTCAACAATACCTTTCTCACTAAGTTGCCTTTTTTTTTTGCTACCATCTGGGCTTGATTATTTGCACATCGTTTAAGTATATCAATTTTTTTTGAGCATTCATTAATAACATCTTTGTTTTCTTGTATTTGAACAAAAAGATCATGTCGAATACTTACATCCATAGCTAAATTAAACAAGGATTCAAATTCAATAATTTTTGCCTTTGCAACTTTAATTTTTTCATATGCTGCTTTTAGAGTGTAGCATTGGAAGGTATTTCATATTCATAAAATAGTGAGAAAGTAGAAGGACAAAATGTTAGTTCATTTGTAAGGGTTGGGGTTTTGCTTATGCTCATGTTTTTTCCAAAACCAAATAATGCTTGCAATAGAATTGGAGTTGATAAAAGATCTTGAATTTCTCTTTGAATACTATCATACTCATTTTTTTGATTTCACACTATCTTTTATTTCCTTCTTCTAATAATTTTGATTTTGGCAGCAATGAATTTATAGTAGTAACCATTTTGTGATATACAAACATATTCATAAAATGCTCATACAAAAAAACAGGATTAGAGTAAAAAAGTTTTTTATTAAACTTTAGCATGCTTAAAAAGGTTTGCATTAATAATTTATAGGAACTTTTATAATCTGAAAAACAAAGATGAAGGTACTCTAATTGAGGCAGACAATTTGAACAATAATAGCACAATGATAATAGATTTTAAAACTTTAAAGTAAAAAAGAAAATTTTATCAAATTATTAATAATCTAATTTTGAAAATTTAATTTCATCTCATGTTTCTTTTATAATTTATAAAAATTTTTCACTATCTTTTTATCTCATCTATTTTTTTATATATCTGAATGAGAAATTTGTCTTATCTATTTGATTAATAGACAAAGAAAGTCTGTAAATTAATTAATTTCTATTAACCTTATCAGATTAAACTTCTGAAAAGCTTAATAACAAAATGATTTCATATGATAAAATATATTATTCTATTGTTTTAATAAAAGGTTTCAATAGTATATACTATTTAATTTATATTGATATAAAAATTTTTATCAGGTTTTTCTTATCTAGCTCTCATTTTATATATCTAAATAATAACAAATCTTACTTTTTGAAGTATTTTATTCAATTTTCTTTTATATATAACTAGAGCTTTCATTATTCAAATAATATTTATATTTTAATGAATATTCGAATAAAGAATTATCTAATAAATAATTCAAATAAGTAAATTTTATTCGAATAAGAAATTTATAATTATTATTATTAATCTATATAAAACTTCAGTTATTAGCTTTTCACATATAGTAACTATATATTACTTGCTG